AACAAGTAAAGGAAACTTTTCCGCGCATTTCAGGCACATTGGGTATACAGGGCTAGACCTATATTTTTATAGACAAAACGGAACTTGGTGCATGATATGGTCAACATCGAACCGACCACCTTTACTTTCCATGACTTACCTAGTACCCACTCAAGCTGGGTCGACCTGGTAGCCAAGGTCATTTCTGAACAAAATCTCAACCTCGTAAGGAACCGAACCCACAATATTCCTATCCGCAACCGAGCGTCTAGTTACTCGACCACAGCGGATCCCCCCAAAAAGGAAGAACAAAGAAAATGTTGATAATAATGGCGACTGCATTCGAGCTGTTGCCAAGAAGTGATTTCACTGAACACAAACTATGGCTAAGAAACTGAATAGAAAGTGGTAGGAAACACTAGTGTGCAACAACAACAAAACCACAAACTGAGGACCAATGTCCTCATAAACATACAAATTATGTCTGCGATTTTTTCTCGATTCATCCACCGCCGTTTTGTGTAATACCCTAGTCGAGAATTGAATTTATAGAGAACATGAACAGTGATATAGGCTTGGCGCAAAGAAAAAGAGTATTTTTGGCACAGTAAGGTTGGCGGGAGCTACCGCTGTGTAGCTGCAAGAGGCTCGCCTGCAGATCCAAAGGTCATTGGTTAAAATCCGAACGTAGCCAGATATTGTTCAAAAAGGACATAGGCTCTTAGGTCGATCCAGCCTTGAATGGGTACCAGGTAAAGTTATGGAAAGTAAAGACTGCCGGAGTGATGTTGACCACCTCAAAACGAGCACAGCAGTTGCAAATGACTGCCAGTGATAAAGCACTTATTGTTCTATACAATATATTTTTAGCACTATATGCCTAAGACGCATAAAGGTAGAGAAAATCGGTCCTTAACTTTCTTACAAGTTAGCAAGCAATCCAATATTACCACTTTTGGACGCTAGCAGTTACACGCGTCCTAGCTGTAAAACATGTTGCTGTAGGATCGACGCCCCTTTAATTAAATCCCCTTCTGGCGTCTTTTTCAATAAAGCGAGAAGTTTCCGATAGTCAAGAGATATTCTGCAACAAGTGTTTAAAGATGTGAGGAAGGAATCCACATACCGCAGATAACTGATGCTTCTTTTTCTTTTTCTGCCTTTTATCCCCCAGTGGAGCATAAGCGCTCAGCCATATTACGCTAAGTTGTTCTGTCCTTTGTTTAAACGTCACTTTGTAGTTTCCTTCTTGTTGTGTATTTATTTTGGGTCTGCCTTTATTTCTACGCCTCTGTGGGTTTCAGTGCAAAGACATTCTAGTTAACCTGTTCTCAGGTTTTCTCAGCGTGTTTCCTATCTAACACCAGCGTTATTCCTTCACCTCTTGGTCCACTGGAACTTGTTAGTTCTCTCACAAACTTCACCATTAGTGATTCAATGACACCGTTTAATTTTTCTCTACTCTGTTAATGAATATGTGTAATTTATCAGTAATTGTTTGAGCTTTATTTTTTTGTGTTTGCACTACAAGGATAACGGATCACTTGATTAAACATTATAATAGTGTAAATGCACATCCATAGATGATCTGTCATCTGCCACAAATGCCTCAACCTGTAGATGCTGAGTCGTCAACAGGACAGTGGTTGTAGACATCGTGCACAAGCCCTCTCTTACGTCCTTGATTGTAAGAACAAAAAGGAAAGTCATTAAAGAAGACAACTGAGCCTTTTCTTCTACCAGCAGCGGCATGACAACGGAGATAATGGCTGTGACAAGGACCTTAGAATAGCTGGAAACTCAGGAGTTCACCAAAGCAGATTTGTTCAGCGACTCAGTAAGGATGCTACAGAAGATCAAGGCGGAGTACATACAGAAACAGTGGTTCTACCTGATATAGCATGCAGCGTTTCGCAGATTCACCTTTTTGTTTTTGGTTTGTGACAATACGCTCGGTGACTCCAGAATGTCTTTCCTCAACCTACTTTTATTTCTTTGTATTTTGAAAGTATACAGGAAAATAGGGATTTGGATACATCCTTAATGACGACCACATCACACCTTTAATTCTCCTGGACCGTTGGTCATATCAAACACTAAAACTTTTTCCCAGATGTTAAGTGTTAAGGTACAGAGATAAGACTGACCAAGCAGACTTACTGACTGGAGATTTGCACACCATTTGTGGTGTCAGATAGTTATTCCCCCTGCCAGATCTTCAGGAACAGATAACAAGGGCTAATTGCCATTATCTCCCCCTGAGGTTACCTAAACTGGAGTGCCGGTCCGACGGTCACTATTGACACAGTGAGCGGAAAGTGTTGGCAGAAGAATTGACAAAGTCGGATTGTATTGTGATGACAGGTGAAGTAGACTAGAGGTGTGACTTGTCTTATTTGCTCTGGTCAGATGAATTGACCAGGAGATCCTAGCGTGGGAATTCAAACAATTGTTGTACAGTCACTGACTGACAGCGAATAAACTTACCCACAGGGGAGGAGCTGTGATATCCGTGAATGAGAATGATTTTAGGCGTAATGTAGGAGGAGCTTGATAAAAGTTATAAAGAGCTGAACGCTAGGTCTGGTAAATGAGATCCTGTCCAACACATGCCATCTGTTGGGCTTAACCTAAGCTTGAGACAGAACCTTTGGCATCGTGGTTTCATTTTTCCAGGTAAGATCGAAATTAGGTTTAAATCTATATTTTATGATAGAGATCTAACTGTCTTTTTACTCAAGTGTGTGTCTTCATCACTTTGTAGTACTCCTAGGCGGACATTTCTTCATTCTCGTGGGGCACTGTCACATTGCTTTATATCCTATTTGATAGTGTCATGAATGTTTTTTTCGTGCACATGTGTTTCAATGTTGTAAAACCTAAATGTTGTTGTTGCCATTGAAATTAAATGAACTATCATGTTTTTGAAATCACAAGCGTGAAGATAACTCTGGCAATCTTTTCACGTGTGGTTAATGTGAATCTGTATTACATACAGCTAACACACTGAAATGTGTTTAACTCTCGGGAGGCTAACGCGGAGATTGATCCCGGAGAGTAAATCCACGAGATTTGTTATTTGATTCGCCCCAGAACTATTGTTAGCATTCTGGGCGCGTCGATTGTTCCAAGCATAGATTCCAGAACTGGTTCTGTCTGACTGATTGTCATTTTGAGTCTGTACGAGAGCTGGCACCTGACGTAGAAGACTTGACTATCATTACAGGACGTGTAGAGGAAGGCAGAAGATGTAACAGTTGGAATGTGAGACATAAGCCCTTCCAAATTGGACAGGAGTGAATGTGAGCATGAGGGAGAGATGAAATGTTTTATTTAAATAAACATGCTTGATGATTAGTATAATATACATGCTTAGTGTACATCTAGAGCAGATACTACAAATATGCGCTTGTTTCTTTATCACAGTTCCCACATTGGGCAGAGACTAGTAGGCATCCATTATTTGCCGACCGTCGAGTGTAACGACCTGCAGAAAGCAGTGAGGACGACAAACTGGAAAAGATAGGCAGGGTCTCAAGCCGAGAACTGTCCTGACGGTGAATTCTCCTACTAGGAGTTAAGTATATGTACAAACTGTCATCATTCACATCATTCCAACTCTACTAGCCTAAACAAGTTCATTTTAATTTCGATTTATTCAAATAAATCATGTGTGATGAGTTTCATGATAGTTGAGTAAATTGTGTACTTAGGTTCAAGTGTCTTTGTGCATATTAGTTTACTTCAGCTAACAAATATTTAAATCACTTGATGGGGGCTTTTAAGTAATGCCAGGAGAGGAGAATAGTCGCAGGGGTTAACTGTGTATCGAGATAATATCACAGTGGGTGTATCCTGATATCTATCTATCCCTTCTCCTACTCCTGTGGATACAAGTACAGCAACTTTCATTTCATGGAACGAGCCACTCGCTGTTTTCTTGGCTATCCAGGACTGTCTAGGATCAACATAGCTTAGATAATAGTCCAGTTTCTCATGTGGGTGGGCATTGTTAAGGTTCAAACCCACACCCTCACTATTTCAGTGTATTTACCCACGTGGGCGCGCGACATGGTTATAGTTGACAATTCGGAATGGGCCTTCTATGGACAGGAGAGACATCATCAATGCCTAACGAGAGACTAAACGCTGTGAGGTTTTCAGTTTCGTGGGAAATGATTTTGAAATGAATAGACTGCATACCCTGAGTGTACCAATTGAAGCGGGGTGAGAGGAAAGCCACGTGGGAGCCAGACGTAGCAACATCAACCAGAACAGAAAGCGAGTTGTTCGCCTAAAAACTAGTGGCGACACACTAGGCAGGAGATCGGAGCACATATGGATATGTCCACTGTTCGATAAAGAGATATATAAAGTGAACAATGAACAATGATTGATCACACTTAAATTCAAATTCAGTCAGCTTTACACATTTGACTTCATCTAACATCATGTGTAACATTCCCTAATCATCATCATCATCAGGTGCCTCGCCGACTGGCATGGGCGATCATGCCTCTCTATAATCTGCGATCTCCTGCAGCAAAACCTCATAGAGGTTTTAAAAGATCTGCCTTAACCATTATGAGTGCTCCTACTGCCGCTGCTTTTGTAGTTAATATCTGCTACTTCATCGCCTTGAACTTCTGTATGACCTGGACAGTACAGCGACCTAAGTCCCGTGTAATGTTGACTTATCCACTTCATTTCCATTTATGCGGCATTGCACTAGGTTAATCATTTACGATTATGTCTCGTTTCACATAACAGTTTCTTTTTGTCCTACAACGACGTACACAATATTAATCTCCGTAGATCCAGAGACCGCATCTAGGGATTTCCTAAAAACCTGCATTCACAAGAGGAGTCCGAAACTGAGCTCTTTAATCATTGAGCGAAAAACAAATGGGTTGGCAACTACACCACAATGTCCATAGATATATAAGATATACAGTTTTATGTCAGTTGCATTTATTTTACCATTATATATTTATTAATTTTTTACAACTAAATGTACTCACCTTTGATTAAATTGACTATATGTTGATCTGATAATAGAGTATATTGTCAATGGAATAATTGGGAATCCTGTGAATGTAAAGGAACAAGGATTCATGTTAGTTTTAGATAAAATTTATAATAGTACTAAATACATGATTTATTATTACAATAAAGACGCTAGGTAATACTTTGGTAAATTAATTATACTAAAAAACACAAACACTATGACAGACAGACAGACAGACAGACAGACAGACAGACAGACAGACAGACAGACCGACCGACCGACCGACCGACCGACCGACCGACCGACCGACCGACCGACCGACCGACCGACCGACCGACCGACCGACCGACCGACCGACCGACCGACCGACCGACCGACCGGCCGGCAGATAGATAGATAGATAGATAGATAGATAGATAGATAGATAGATAGATAGATAGATAGATAGATAGATAGATAGATAGATAGATAGATAGATAGATAGATATAGATAGATAGATAGATAGATAGATAGATAGATAGATAGATAGATAGATAGATAGATAGATAGATAGATAGATAGATAGATAGATAGATAGATAGATAGATAGATAGATAGATAGATAGATAGATAGATAGATAGATAGATAGATAGATAGATAGATAGATAGATAGATAGATAGATAGATAGATAGATAGATAGATAGATAGATAGATAGATAGATAGATAGATAGATAGATAGATAGATAGATAGATAGATAGATAGATAGATAGATAGATAGATAGATACATAGATACATAGGTGGGGGTGGGGGGTGGGTTCAGCACATCTGAAAGATATCCTGTGTAATTAAAACAGCCTCTGCACGCAAAATGCTCTTGCCATGATACAAAAGTAATTGATACTTTCTCGTATCTTTTATATTTTCAAGACATTCATTATTTGTATATTTCCCGTTTCGGCTGCAGAACGGCTTCTCTGTGTTCTGTTTATAATTGTGACCTTAAAACATGTATGGCTGTCCATATTATCCGGAGAAACCAGAAAGTGAATGCGAATTATTCATTTAATCCAGTACATTAATTAACAAAATGACAGTTTTTCCGATAGACGTGTTCGTGAAATGACGACCTAGTGATCAGGAACACAAATCGCAGTTGATGCAGAAAAACGTGTGTGTTAATGATGTTGTCAGATTATGGCAGTTATAGCTTCACGGAACAAGAGTCACCCCATAATTGTTCTTATGCCAGCGAAAACCACACGGAATGCACATAGCTTTCTTCTGTTAAACACACACACACACACACACACACACACACACACACACACACGCACACACACAATATACTGCAGTCGCGGCAAAGCCAATAGCAAACACACGAATTAAATGCATACATCAAAAGTGCTAATATAAGCAGTCCTCTAAAAGAATTGCAGTTCCTCCTCAATGAAAGTAGCAGTTACTGCAAATCAACGATTGCATACGCCGTTAATTGAATAAGGCACCGTGTTACTGCAGTGACAAGCATGCTTGCCTGTCGTAATGGCGGTCTTATATTCAAAAGTCAGATTAAATCTTTTTTTGGTGGTCATACATTTTTATTCTCCCTTTCGTTAATATCTTTGCTGATGGTGCAATCACATCTCCTTTATAATGGTCATTTATATTTCATTCAAATGCGCTTCAGGTTAGTCTATCACAAAGATACCATAGGGAAATATCACAGAAAGTAAAGAAGAGCGAGCTGCACTAGACACAAAACCTATCGACTATTGATTGACTTAACGTAATGAGCATTCATGACAATTCTCGCCTAGGTGTTTTGATTATCTATACAGATGACTGGTTAGGAGGCAGATCAAGTTAATGGGGGAGGGGTAAGGAGGGGCCGGGAGAGGGGGGGGGGGAGGGGAGGGGAGTCTTTTGGCAAAAGCGAATGGACGTCGCTTAGTGCAACAAAACCTAGCATATGCTACTACAACATCTAGTCTAAGAATGGAGGTAGGGCTAGTCACTGCCGCCTCTCCCACTGGCTTCAGAATGAGCTGTACACACATGTCATTATTGTAACCTACTCGCAGAGCATGTTGAGAAAGCTGGAGACCGGTATGCTCTGTGAAGAGTGGCAAGTATCGCTTCAGAGGTCTCAGGTAATTAGTGCCCGTTGGATATTTTTTCTAGGTTATGTTGGACTTGTGGGAAGTAAACAGGCAGATAGACTGGCTGTATCTGCACAACTTGGTGGTAAATTGATGCATGACAAGCTATATGTTGTAAGGGTCCTTTGGGAGAGACTGAACCGTGCTGAGACACAGATGGATCATCATGGTCTGATGAAAATAGTGGTGGAGGGAGGGGCAAGGGGAACTGGCCGACCATCAAGGGAAACGTAAGATGGATATACAGTCATACCGTTACTGGTACTATTGTAACTGGAGCTTTGTGCTTGGTGTATGAATACATGTATGTATGTATATGTGTATGTAAGTTGTACCTCATCATGACATCACACAAGCGATACATACCCGGTGACACAAAATGCCACCATGCGGATGAGGATCACCCGTAGAGAGGTCCCGGACACCCGGGTCAGCCATTTGGCCATATTTGGCCCGTGGTCGGGCTTCAAAATAGCTAAAAATTGCATCCCAAAGGGGATGACGGTATATGTGTATTTTGAGCTTGCTGCTGAAGATGGAGACGGAGCGCTTATGGGAATGTCCTGAGTGCTGTAGTGGTGATTCCTAATTAGACATTGAACGTAAAGGGCTTGCACTATATGTCTGATAGCACTTCTGGCGACTAGAGGATCCTTTACTATTTACTATGTACAATTTCAGTGGAACTAGTTCTCTAACCTAGAATACATGAGTATTTTATATACCACATGTAAACTTCAGTGTTATACATTAATTTCAAGTTGTTCCCTCGTGGAAACTTTTGTTGTCATTTTGCCGCCCCAGCCTAGCTTTTGCCGGGGGCCCTGGATATAGCCTAGCCATAGATAGGGCTTTAACGGCGGAACGGGTTTTTGGGACCTCTCCACGGGTGATCCTCATCTGCATGGTGGAACCTTGTGTCACCGGGTGTTTATCGCTTGTGTGATGTCCTGGTGGGGTACAACTACCTACCTACCTTCCCAAACTTCACTGTTCACAATGCCCCATCTTTGTACTTATAGTGTATGCCATATAATGTTTTTCAATCATGCCCGCCAAAGATCAATAGCTTAATTGCGTATACTTTACAAGACGTTGCAAAATCAACCCCAGCAGCCCCTGGCTTTGTGGTTTCTGTAGGCAAATTTACGTCCAGTAGTTTGCCATTGCTTCTGGACGGTCGAAACCAACGCAAGGCGCATGGCCTGCAGCTGGGATTGAACCCAGCACCCCGGCATTACGAGGCTGACGCATCGACTTAGCCACACAGCCGAGCAAGACCAAAGCCCATGTCAAAATCACACATATTTTTTCTCTAAGTCATCACTACATATCCGTCTTTCCTGTTGTCATAGTCTAATCCAGTTTCCTCCCCAATGCCGTGCCTTAGAGAAGTGCGTTGTGTTTTCTTTCCCCTAATCAGATTTAAAAAGCTAAGTTATTTTAAGTCAAGTTCATGTAGTTGTATCACACTGTCTTTGTTAGTGTGTGCTGATACATGATCAATGGCCCAAACGATTATTGTGTCACTCGTGATTGTGTATGTGTGTGTATGTTTGACATTATTTAGAAAGCTGAATTGTTTTTCTGTTCGTTCTGTTTATTTTGTTTTTCTTATGCGGAAATAAGTGTTTTTATTTCGTTCAAAGTATCACAATTTCATTTTCAGCCATCCACGAAACTATCTTAAAAAAATTTTTTGTTGTTGTAATAAATAACAATATCTAATAGCCAGCACAGGTCTCTAATACTAATAAAAATGGAGTCCGTCAACACGAAAACACATTGATTGTCAAGAAAAAGCCTAAATAAACATTGTCGTAATAATCCTATACAGATAGCCATCTTTTTTTTCTTACCACGATATTTTTGAACGCAATGAACGCAAACGGACACTTAAGCAGCTGGGCGAGGTTGCTGAGAGGGCCTCGAGCTGGCTCTGGACGCAACGAAACAACGTAGGGGACGGGCCTCGGTGATCTGGTCCGGGTGTCTAGCGGAAAAGAATTTATCATCCTTTGAAAGTCCATCGTGTCCGAATGTCTGCCAGTGTTCCTCTGCCACCTGCTAACATAAGTCCAACATGTGTCCGGTATACCAATCGTAAGCTTGCCGCTCGGTCGTTCAGGTATGAAGACTGTTTTAATTATGCGACGACTTCTTATCTCACAGTACATTCTGCAAAATCACCAATTCGTCTTGTCCCTATCCGAACAACATCCGGTAATTCCGTGCAGCAGGGGAAACCAAACCAGAGCTTTATGAACTCAGGTGGGCCCACTCTCTGAAAATGTCTAGGAGTGTGTGGGCCGAAACATTTGTAGACGAGAGATTACTTCTACTGATGATTGGTAGACCCCTGCTGTACATGCTCCCCTGTGGAGTTTATTCTTATTGCTCACAAAGGTTACATTTGGCAACACTGAAGAATTGTAACCACTCTGTGCGCGTGTGGTTTATATATACATACATACGTTAGGTTTAAGTTAGTCTCCCCTAACAAAGTAGGTCACGTTTCATTCAGAAGTTTGTTAGGTTGGTCTACCTTTAGGCAGGTTACGGGGGTGTCGCTCTGTTGTTTGCTTTCTGCGTTGTCTTGCATTTACGTTTTTATTCAGAGAAAGAGAACCCCTGTGACATAGGTTGCAGCATTCTCTAATAAGGTTGTGTTAGACTCAGTTTGTCACTGTTTTTAGAGCTGTACAAAGCGCCGGTGTGCTGAAAAATACAACACGGGATATCAACGGCTTTGAGGAGCACCCTGGCAACCTTGTGCCAAGGTGACAGGTTCAGAAACTACCAATCATCAGTTAGGAGACTAATGTTAGTTCTACCATACATAAAAATGAGTTACCAAAGCCAAAGATGTAGTAATGAATGAGTGCTTTAGGCACAGTAAAAGCGTGGACTAGTAAGCGATGCAGATGAAATCCCTCGATGAACATCCACATGAAGGCTGCAACTTCTGCGTATCTGGTGAGAGCGTGCAGCAGTCGACAGCCAACCTAGAAACAATTTAAAAAAAAAAAAAAAAAAGGAATAATTGAAATGCCTAGAACGAAACAATATTATTGTTATGCCTAGTTATATGCGATACGAAATACACAAATGTATATTTCTTTAGATATTCAGGCGAATTATGCAGTTGGTTATCGAAAAAGATTTTGATTTTCAAAATCGGCCTTGTCTTTCGGGTCGATCTGGTCTAAAATGGAAACCAAGTAATGTCTTGCTAAGTAAAGTTATGGCCACTCTTCCAGATAACGGGCATAAATTACAAACGGTAAAAACATACCTAACAGGGCCTCAGTGGTATGTAAAAGCAGGATTTATTTCCGGCGAAGTCAGTGTCGTTGAGAAACATTAGTATGGCAGGCAGACCATCAGCTGCGAGGCAGCTGTAGGTGCTCTTTGCCTTAAGGTTAGGTGTAGGTTTGGGGCTGGGGTCAGGGTTAGGGTTAGGGTTAACTATATTTTATTTCCCAGGTTTCAATAATTATACTAGATGACTTTTTTGAGGCCCTGTGATGTTATGTTTTGAACGATCACAATTTGAGCTTGTTTTTTCGGAAGATTGCCTAGTTATGCGACGCAGACCAAATATCTACCAAGTTCTGATAGGCATATACCAGTACACCCCCTGCCAACACACACACACACACCACGACCTCTCCTCTACCAACAAGACAAAATGTAATTCAAAAGGGGACACAGATATCTCAAACACTGTTAACAGTAATTTAGAGGAAAACATCCACATAAATAAAACAGTAAAATAACAACAGAAAAAAATCACCAACTAGTAATTTAGTGACCAAATATCAATGCGATAATTGAGAAAATTATGTCTGCTATAATAGGTTTAATGTTGGAAAAGGCACGCGGAGATCACTCTCCACACCAAGCTGGCAACACTATTTTGTTTTCATGGTCGTTAAAACTAAAAATCCGGATTATTACAAGTACAAATGTACTCAATTTCAAAATGTTCAACGACCCCCAACCTCACCTCAAAAGTTATTTACGCCTCCTAGTGGGTGCAACCTGAGGTTAGAGACCAATAATCAATACAGTTATGAATCTAGCCTCATCTGCTCAATGTGCCTTCTTCTTTTTTTTCTTCTTGTGTCCTATTGATTTTGCAGTGAAGCATCACAGAGAGGAATTGCATGTAGTTTCCTGCCTTTACTAGTTGTAGTGTAGCTTGTGTTATTGTTTTATAATGTTTCTGTATGTCTATTTTACTTCATCAACCCATCTCTTTCTTGGTCGACCTCTTGCCTTGAAGCATGTTGTTCTCATATGGTATGCTGTAGCTACTAGCTGCTTTTGTTCCATTCTGACCAGATGTTGGATGTTGGACGCTTATGGTGACATATCCTTTGAAATCATGGGCAGTGTAGCCCAGTAAATGTAAAAGTGAAGTAAGGGACACTCACGATGACATATACTTTGACATCCCGAACAGTGTGGGCCAGTAAATGTAAAAGTGAAGTAAGGGACACTCACGATGACATATACTTTGACATCCCGAGCAGTGTGGGCCAGTAAATGTAAAGTGAAGTAAAGGACGCTCATGATGACATATCTTTTGACATCTCGGGCAGTGTAGGCCAGTAAATGTAAAGTGAAGTAAAGGACGCTCATGATGACATATCCTTTGACATCTCGAGCAGTGTAGGCCAGTAAATGTAAAATGAAGTAAAGGACGCTCATGATGACATATTCGTTGACATCTCGAGCAGTGTAGGCCAGTAAATGTAAAAGTAAAGGAAAGAGCATTCTTCCATGCCATTAGCCGTAATGGTCACATAGGGCTAGAATTATAGTTTATCGATGAATTGGCACCAGCCACTAAATTATATTTCAGTTTTATTCATCTGTCGGCTCTGTGGCTAAGTCGATGCGAACGCTTCGTAATGCCGGGGTGTCGGGTTCGATCCCAGCTGCGGGTCATGCGCCTTGCGTTGGTTTCCACAGTGGTATCAGGACGCCGACCGTTCAGAGCAATGGCAAACTACTGGACGTAAATTTGCCTAGAGAATCCACACAACAGCCAGGGGCTGCTGGAGTTGGTTCTGCAACGTCCTGTAAACAATACGCAACTAACCTTTCATTCATATGTCCCCCCCCCCCCCCTTCCAATCAATAATAACAAACCGTCTTTTTCCCTGAAAAACTGGATAAGGGGGCCAAGCAAACATCTTTAGCCATGCATAGCGATTTTCTTTAAAAGAATTGGTTTTTAATTTGATATCTCAACCGTGTGTTGATATATATTTACCATTCAGCTTATTATTAATATTATTATTATTATTATTATTATTATTATTATTATTATTATTATTATTATTATTATTATTATTATTGTGCTCTCAAACATGAATTAGGCACCCCGAGCATTTAATCTTTCTTTTGCCCTTTTGAATAGTAGTGGTTTGGGGGAAGGAGGTGGTGAGACCCAATCCGCAAATCCTTCTCCGTGTTGGCGAGGCTGTCAAATGCCTGTACAACGGGTCTTGTAGTTAATTGCACCTACCTGTTGTGTTGATATAGAACGTATTTTTTTTTCAAATGTTAGGTAAAGTAAACTGACCAATATGATACTGACCACAGTTCCTATCAAAATCTGATTGCTCTATACCAGACCTCCTAGTATTATGTGCCCGATTGGTTGCTGACGTTACAAGTGTCTTTCACTGTTTTCTCTCCATGGGTGAAAATTCATTTGGGTTAATCTAGGAAAAGATTCGATACACAACACTGAGGACAAAAACATTATTTTCCCCGTTTCTCTTGTCAGCTGATAGTCGTCATACTGCAGGTAACCATTGTAATTAGATTAATTTCTTGTCTTACCTTTCCTATGTCTCAAGCTGCATTACTTGTCTGGCCTTCTTCCCAGTCTCAAGCCGCATTACTTGTCTTTCCTTTCCTCGGTCTCGAGCAGCATTACTTGTCTTTCCTTTTCCCCAGTAACGAGTTGCCTTACTTGTCTTTCCTTTTCCCCAGCCTCAAGCTGCATTACTTGTCTTGCCTTCTCCCCAGTCTCAAGCTGCATTACTTATCTTGCCTTTTCCCCAGTCTCGAGTTGACTTACTTTTCTTGCCTTTTCCTCAGTCTCGAGCTACATCCAGAGCCTGCAGCCTCTCACATCTCCATCAATAATAAATAAATAAATAAATACTGCTGAACGAAAATACTTATTTATGTGTGGGTTTTCGGTATCCAATTTGGGGACCAAAATAAAAAAATAAAAAATCTAAAGCCCCTAAAACATGTCGTATATGGTGACTAGTTAGTTGTGTTTCTTTTAAAGTATGAGTCCTCTACCTAACACTGCTTATCAGACTGTGAGGCGAGAAACCAGAAGTCTGCATACAATTAACCAGATCCGTAAAACAAATGTGCATCCAACATTACATTTCTCGACAAAGACCAAAAGCCAGAAGTAGACGAACAACTACAACTTTCTTCCAGAGTTTACAGCCGGGTAATGCTAAAGGAACACAATTCTGGAACATTCTGGAACACGTTGTTAAAACACTCAGTTACTTACTGAATTTTTGTTAGCAGCAGTTTCTAAACGATCCTCAGTCTCCATTATATCCTTAAAAATAATGACATCCCAAATGAGCATGCTAGCTGAGGTTATAAATGATGAAATCATCAAGCAAATGTGCAGTCGAATTCTGTGTTGTTGTCTCAATGGCCTGCATAGATACATTAATTGCGTATCAGTATTATGGATGATAACTACATATACATGACGTAACAAGTTATATAAGTTAAAGCGCATGGAATATGCATTTAAAGTTTTATGTGGAGTCAAGTAGCTTAACATTCATCAATCATTGATTCATTCATTTAATCATTCATTCATTTATTCATTCTTTCAATTATTACTCTCTTGCGTCATTATATGTCAGAAAGGGCTCGTAATAAATTCCTCCACTGCATTCTATCATGTGCAATAAGCTCAGCACATGCGGGCCAGCAGCTTTGTCTCTCTCATCAACGTTAGTATTAGAGTTTCTTTTGGGCGCTCTCGCCTCCTTAATACCTTTATTTTCAATTTTAAAACTATGCAGTGTAAGTGTTTAATATTTTGTTCAGTCTAAATATCTCCATCACATACCCCCGAAAAAATGTCTTTTTCTGAGATTTACTTATCTAATTCTGTTCGAATTGTGTTTTAGATTTTCGATGACTGTGCGTGTTCCAGTGAAACAGTATTCTTGTAATATTATTATCACGTTTACCATACTGATCTATCCTAAGAAGAACTAAGGTAATCTCTCGCAATGCTTCCTATTGGCTTAATGTTGATCTTGATTTAAAAAAAAAAATTAATTCTGTTGTCTTGCTCGTTTAGTTTTTAGTCGCAGTTTGTACTAAATTTAGTATCCGTTGACACAGACTTCGGTCAAAACGTTCTGTTTTGTTTGTGTGCGTCTTCTATTCCATTCGTTGGGCTTTCTAGTCATATTTTTTGTTATATTTAGCATTGCTATTTGAGATCACGTAAAATTATTTAATTTCTTCAGTTAACAGCAGTCACCATTCAACTCTTTTAGTATCAAACAAACGCACTATACGTTTTTTTGTGGGTAAAAACCCACAACATAGGATCTGATTGCTATACCTTATAACGAATAGATGATATATAATGACATATCAACCCTTTGTAGCTGATTATTATTTCACTAATTTTGACCTGTAGTTGAACTCCTTCAGACAAAAGTCTCTATTGCATGTATGCTCAAATCTTTACAGTAGAAAGGGTTAAAGTAACATATTCGTGGTACTGAAAGAGTTGATGTCAATCTGTCTGTCTATAGTGGAGACTGAACCTGCACCACTGATAAACAAGAGTGCAGACGACTGTGGTACTGGGGCACATCTATACTAATACTTTGAAGCATAATGTACAATTATACACTGTGAATTGGAAAAGGCTACCTGGTAAATAAATGCCTGGACAGCTTTCTTGATTATATCCCTCCATGCCATCGTTTCAGCCCATTCAGATTCATCTCTCTTGTTCTGCCTTTACCGCTTTTCCCTCTGATATCTTTTGTTGTCACAATGTTCTCTAATGTCTCTCTTATCATGATGTGACCAAAGAACAGTGTTTGTCTCTTTCTTAGTGTTGTATATAGAGATCTACTTTCATTATCTTCTTTCAAGCAGTTGTTGTTAGTTACTCTGGTCGTAGGTTGGCATGAGGTAGATAATTCAAACGATCTATAGAAGCTGACCTTCGATGTAAATTTGTACACTTTTCATAGATGTTTCACTCCCAGAGTGTCATACAGCATTAGTCTCCCATGATTTGTAGATCTTTCATTGAGTGGAGGGGGAGTCGCCGTGGTGCAGCGGCTAGACGCTCTCCTGCGGATCGAAAGGTCGTGGGTTCGCTTACTGGCAGAGTCGGGACTTTTTTCAAAAATGACCTTGAGTAGGTACTGGGTGCAGTCCTGGGAAGTAAGGGTGGCTGGCGTAATGCTGACCACATTTTGTACCATTGGTCTATAAAAAATATAGGTCTAGCCCTATATACCGAACATGCCTGAATGAAATTTTTTTTAAACATTGAGTGGAGGATAGGCTATCAACCTAAACACAACGCATCGCTTTATATGTGAACTGATTTCCAAACGATCTTCATCGCTTTACATGTGAACTTATTTCCAAACGATCTTTATCGCTTTATATGTGAACTGATCTTCAAGCGTGTATCAGTTACTGTTTATTCTTTTTTCTTTTGGATACAGCAATTATTAGTCAAACAAAGATTACATAAATTCGCCGCGTTTAGAAAAACAGCAGCATCTGTGCAACTGTAAACTGTAGAATCACATTGACATGGTCAATCTAAGGCCACATGCTAAATTTTGTGTTGAACCATAGAGAGTTGTCGAGATATGTGTTAAAAAGTGAGAGCGTTTGTTTTGAAACACACTGCAGTGCATCTAGATATATATAGATACCAGCTGCAATGTCATTTATGCCCTCAACTGCGAAAGATGTGACATGAAATACATTGGTAAAACAGGTCTACGCCTGGCTGACAGGTTCAGACAACATCGTTTGGTGCTCTGAAACCAGTACCGTTGCACTTCAATTTCCAGGATCACCAAGGTGTCCTTCGACATGGAGATGACAGCCATTAAATCCAGCCATTCCAGCGACAGAGTCCGCACGTCTTCTTGAGAATCGCTTTATTAATACACTGGGGACTTTAACACTCTCCGGACTGAATTGCCAACACAGTTTTATTTAAACTCCTGGGAGATTGAACTGCCCTCACAGGTTTATCTCCAACCCCCTAGTTATGGCCCCTGGTACTCTACAGGGGGTATTTATTCGCTCAGTCATTATGCTGAGAAACAACCGACATGGCTGCCTCGAGAAAATAGCTAAGTGATTTTGTGTTTCTATGTAGTATTGTTTCATTTGTATGTGCTGATCAAGGCTCAGTGGCCACAACGTCACGTTTTGTTTGTATTTCTTATATTGTGAAGCTTGCTTATATACTTTTCGTTCGGGTTTATATCCTTTCTAGATATAAGGATAATGTATGGGAGGAAAAGGTGAAATTCGAAGAATAGTTTTTCCGTCTATACAATTGTCGTGGAATGATAAGCCATTACACATCAGTCCGTAAGACTGGTAACTTGACCTTCCTGTAATCGGCACAAAATTCAAACTTGGACTCGTCCAGAAAGATAGTCCCTTATATCTATATATATATGCCTTTATTGGACAACATTATTATGTCTACATTTTCTAGTTGCTTTGACTAAACTCCACTTTTAAATGTATATATATTGGATATATATTAGAGGAGTTATTTGAGGTTTCTTAGAAACCGATTTACTCCTTGCCCATGTATACTAGGAACTCCTTTTTTACCAACGCCTGAAGTGCGTAATTGGCGGCATTCTCTCTTGCCGGCTTCCAAGCGTCCAGACGTGTCAATCGATGCCTGTACAATTCATTTGAAAAAGGCGATCTGGAATGTCTCTAACTTTTCATATGCTTGGGATGAATCCTTAGTGAGGAGCTGGCAGAAGTTTCACAGTCCAACCAACACCCACCAACCATAAACCAACTATCAACCAACTACCCACCAGCTAACACCTGTGAAGGTTCCTGACATCATCACTATGTGGGGACATATATCCCAAACAGCCTACCAGTGCTAGAGCTTGGTGTAGCTCAAAGACAGTGTTGTGACCTGACTGGTGGGAGAGACTTGCTGAGTACCGGTACAGTTGCTGTGTCCTCTATTGTGAGGTACTCTTCCACTACCTGATCCAGTTGAGCAGAATTACCAGAGTCAAAGACAGTCGAATCATCAGGAGCTGAGGGAAGCATCATAGACGGAAAGAGGAGAAGCTAAGTTTGATGCCTTATGTGTTTTATTCCTCACAGCTCCTATGTTTCCAAGGATGAATATATGCTTCCTCCAGGACTTTCTGACTGTTTAACTTTGGTTGATTATAGTCTTTGTATTCTGGAATCCAGCTGTTGTGTTTTGACATTTACTTCACTATTATATGTATATGTTATATTGATTACATGCATTCATTTTCATGGCTGACTTAGGTGTCTCTATTTCACCTTTTTAAGTGTTTAGCAGTTGTGTGTGTATGAATCTTCACTATATGTGTTAACATGGTTATGATAATGAACTATCATAACCTGGGAGCTTTCTTTAGTAAGTAGTGGGGGTGTCCAGCCAAGTGTGCCTAGGAATATTGTATTCATATACTGATATATTTTGTAGTGCCAATACTTGAGTTGCCCTACTCCAGAAATAAGTTGAGCCTAAATTGGCCACGCGGAATCCCTTAGACCAATACGAGCCAAACGACTCAACATAATTATTTCTGAGTGCTGCTGGTTCTGAAGGAGAAATCCTTACATCAGGCACGTGACAGGAGTGATATGTGACAACAATACAAAAATTACGGTCAACTTGAGCGCTGTTAAATGGAGGACATTACTGTGTCTTCACTGATCTCAAATGAAAACGTTCTTATTTTTTTGTGTTTGCCCTTAAAAAAAAAAGGGGGGGGGGAGAGAAGGGGTGTTGGCGTGTTATTCTATGGCTCTATAGTTCGGCAAAGTATGTTTTCACATAGGCCCAACATATCCCATTTCAGCACACCCGTAATTAGTCAAGTTTCAGGACCTGAATTTGCCTAGAAAAACTACAACAGCCAAAAATAGCTCAAGTTGCTAACGTCCTGACAGAGGACTAACTTTCTGTTGTTGATGGCAATGGGTAGGTAGTATGTTAGCCGCCTCTCCCTTTAACCCTTACTACCAAGCCATGAATATCTTTTTTTTTCCCCTCACAATACATTAAGTAATAATGGCAATGCAGAACATATTTTCAATGTTATTATTTTTTAATGTGATTTTTAGATGACACGAGTACTAGTCTATGGACTGCATAATTACTTGACTTTGACGTTTTTCAGTTTCACTTAAACAAAAATTTAAAAAATCTGTCTTTGCATATTTACAAGGGAAAATATATAGTGACGATTTAAGCCCATAATAATAAATATAGTAATATAAGTGCTCACCTGTAGTAAAGAAATATAATACAGGCAGGAATCAAAAGGAACATGGTGATTATGTTACAGGCAATTGATACTTTATGCACTCGTTGAAACAGCTGCAAGACACATAAACACGTATTTCAGAGACTACAGTTTACTGAC